TCTCTTACTTCGACACTATTCCAATGAATTTGGTGTTTACCGAACAAAACAACAAAGCTACTTCTTTCTCTTTGTTATACCTCACTTGCCGTTTTATCTTCAATATCCACGTAGCTTTGTCTATCAGTATTTTTAAGGATAAAACGATGAACTACATGCAAGGCCAGTTACACTCGTATTACAAAAAAAAAATGCATTGACTTGAACTACGCCGACATCAGCCGGCTGGTCAACAACTGTATTAAGATTTCTTACGCAGCACTCGGTCGGACCGTGACGAATAGCGTTGAGTAACAAGCGTGGAACCTCTGCAATTCGGCAACTAAAGTTCTAGTTTCTACCGGGAATTTTCAGGCTATATTACTGTAGCAAAGTGACATCGGCGAAAACTCTAGCTACCAAATTAGACAAATAAAAAATTACATAAGCTAGTAGTTACACTTCTAGAATCTGCAGCTCTTGGATGAGTTATCTGGTAAAGGTTTTCAGTGATATACAGCTCCGGACAGGAACAGAGCTGTCAACACGAAAACGACAGAACCAATAAAGTAGGGCCTATTCTGCTTGGTTCCTGAGGTTGGGGTGGTTGTCGCTGGGATGGGTGTGGTTGGGCATGCATTCAACGCCTCGAGGTCTTTCAAATAACTGTATCCAAGCAACGCCGTGTAGTTCTTAGCACTGACGTCTACAAGCTTGATCGTGGAATCTTTGAAAAGAAGATCTTTTCCGGCCCACTTGCCTGAGTCAAACATCCTGAACACAGACCCGGTATCGTTTCCATACTCATCTGATGCTTTTAACAAGATGCTAGCGTAGTTTGCTTTGTCACTGCTTCCCTCTCTCGTCATTACAGCATGAGTGGGAACTTCAGCTAGGTTGCACTTATCGTGGTTTCCAATTGCTGAAAAAAAAAAATCAAGAAAAGGAAAAAATTTTTTTAAAAGTTTCAACATGTACCAAGAGTTTTCAGATAGTGTCAGCGGCTATATAATGACGTGCCGAACAGGTACAGTGATCATGCACATCTATGCAAAAATTTTACTCATATATTTCAAGTTGCTGTGTTGAGTATGTCAAAAAAAATGAGGAGGAAAAAAGTAGTGACAAAATAAGCCTTTGGGAGGCAGAGAGCTGAGTTCTACGCTCATCGAGTTAAGTAAAAAACAGAACAAAAACAGTTTTGAGGCGGAATCTCTGAGATTGTGCTAGCCGAAACTGAGCTGAAACTCAGAAAGAGCTAATTTAAAGAAGCCATCAGTGATGATAGTTCTACTGGCTATTTTGACGCCAAAACATCGATGACCAACACGAGGAAATAAAAAAAAAAACTCACACCGGCCCACATTACCTGTAAACATAATCACTTGCTTCATTACGAAATTGGTTTGAAGGCTTAAATTATCGGAAAGTTTAAAAACTGGAATAATATTATGATTTATAACTATGGGAGGCTGCCAAATTTGGTTTCAACCATTGAAAATTTTGAGAAACAAAGTACTCGAGAAATATTAATTCTGGTAAAAGTATAACGAAGGAACAAAGAATTACTAATCTGATTTAAATATAGTTCGTACCACCAGTCCCTCCATTCTCGCACAGGTACAAGTAACCACTTGAATTTGCCGGCACGGTTGTATGCTTTACAAATGCCACTTCACCCACATCATCCATCAAGCACTTCAGGGCGCCGCTGTAACCAGAGTACTTTCCCTTATTAGTCCTGCATTCGTCTTCGCATAGCGCGCACAGGTTGTCGGGATTATCATTATTTTTATCAATATCGGGGTTCTTAACATCTAAGTTTAAAAAGTAAAATTATGAAATTAGTGAAATTCAAAGACAAAACAATCGAAATTAGTTTATAACTATTCTAAATATAGATATAAATTTTTTTTTTCTTGATCAGTTGTAGGGTTAAGGTAAAGTCAGTATTCCAGCCAAGTGAGCTAGTTCCGGTTTACTCAACATAAAGGGACTTGGAGTAGGCCCGTCCCAATTTTACTCGTTATGTCGAGGACTGGGGCGCACATTACGCTATTATGTAATCGTTGACTACGGAAATATGTCACTCAACCGGAAAGTGCACACCCAATTAGTTGTTAATCTGAAGCAA